CAATTGAGGGCACTCGACCGAGCTCAGAATGGGGTTAGTTATTTCTTTGTGTACTGTAGCACAATTTTGAGTCAGCTTAATACTGGAAGATACGTGTTATGCTTTGGAGCAAAGCGACTGAGCATTTAACAAATATACTAAAGTCACATCATATTTAGTGTCCCACGCCGCTGGGCGAGTGAAATTTATATAATTCCCCCAAAACAATGGTCACGATCAATAGAACCATGTGAGTTAGTGTGGAAGAAAATATATTGCTCTTTGTCGAAAATATTACAATAATTGCAAAGGTGTATTTAATTTTCGCTTAAGGCCGATAATACCAAACAACAACTACAACAACTATGCACTGTTTCCACGCCCGAACAGACCCACCCCCCCCCCCCCCCCCCACCAAAAAAAAAATAAAATATATATATATATATATAACATTAAAGATTAAAATATTAATAATGCCACTTATAAACTTCTATAGCCCTATCCATTGCCTTTTCAATGTTCGAGCATTGCAATGGCATGTTACATGATCCCGACATGACTTTTAAAGGTAATACAATTGGTTTCTTATAAATTGTCTTTGACTAGAAAGCCTTAGCGGCGGTGTTTCTGGACAGTGCTTGCTTTTAGCTGTCTATAAATGAATAGAGGCCTTTTTTGTATTGGGCGGGGGGGGGGGGGGGTCATTTGAAGAGAAGTTTTAGTTCTGGGGAGAGTTGAAATATAATCATTTTTATTGTACAAGTGTGGAAAAACATCAGAAAAAAAAATAACCGAAAAGCATGGCCCGACTTGCATCCCCGTATGTTTGTGTACTGTAGTCTTGTATACATCTTTCTGAGTACAGTGTTTCCTACTTTATCTAGACTTTGCCAAATTTCTTATCATTTTGATGACGCCAGAACCTTGCAGTACACACCAATACTGTTATCATAATGCTATATTGTCATCTTTTTTCTGATCGATTCCACACCGAGTCTCTCACAATGCAAACGCATGACCAAAACTCAACTTTATCTTCAAGTCCCTTCTCTTTAATTTTTCTGTTGTTGAGGTATTCTTGCTAACATATATTTGACTATAAAAAAACCTTGCTAAGAAAAAATGTTGTCTCTCTGAAGTATGCAGGTCTGAAATGATCACCCCAGTATGGGTCGGTATTTCTCTCCTCTGCAATAAAGGACCAATTATGTTTATTGTTTTCCGTGTCCAGAAAATGTGATGAAATGAAGATACTTAATGATTCAAGGTCAGTCAAGTATAATGCCTGATTCCTGTGAATATACCTTGATATGAACTGCATACACAAAATAAGGGATTCGCCATTTTGAATTGGGGTTTGTGTTTTGATTGGTTTTAGATTATGCTATTGCTCTCGTGGATTTGGGGTTTTCTTGTTAATTCATTTTTTGCTAGCTTTGACAAGATTAATTGTAGTTTGTATACGTTTTTAAATTACAATGGGAATATGAATATGAAATATTGATTCAAAACGATTAAAAAAACAATGTGAAAACCAAATCTCCCCTTCACCGTTTACTTTATTACTCAGCTTGATTTGTTACGTTTATTGTTGCACACGATGATACAAGTGATAGTTACAGTAATGTTCTAATTTAATTTTCATGCGTTGCATCGGAATGATAAAAAATTAACTAAGCTACCCCACAATTGGACCAGCTACAATACAGGGTGTCTCTGAAAAAAGAAACGCAAGTTTATATTCGTAAATTACTAAATAATCCTAAATTATTTGCATCATTAATGTATAAATTACTGACAAGCTCGTTTTCCTTTATATCATATGACAACAAGAATATGATTATTAGATGACGTATGACTGATTTAAGACAAAACGTGTCGATAATAGTTGTTTTAAAAGTTATATGTTTTCGGAATATCAATTATCAAAACTCATTATATAAACCGTGATATTCTCATCTTCGATTTTAATGATTTGAAGGATAGCCTTTTATAATACCTACCTTTCACACTTTATTAAAACAATATCTCTCGAGTTAATCATCTTAAGGGTTTAGAGATAGTCTACCTTGGGCGCTATAATTATGAAGGTAAGTTATATATAAATATATTTATAAGCTTTTCTATTATGTGCACATTAAAAAAGAAAATTCAGGATTATTGAGTAATTTAACGATAAATATTTCTCGGGTTAATCATGTTTAGGGTTTAGAGACAATTTACCTTGAGTGCTATACGAAAGTAAGTTATATATTTATATATATGTGTATAAGCTTTTCTGTCATAATAATAATTACAGTGCTTATTTAGCGCCTAACACTTACTTTGTCAGAAGTCTCTAAGCGCTCTACAATAATGCAGCATAATTACCCTGGCTTTAGCAGTGCAGCTGTTATGTGCATTAACCATCAGTAATTGAGTAATTTAACGATAAACTTGGGTCTCCCTTTTTCAAGGACATTATGAACATTATGATTATGAATACAACCAAATAATCAACAGTAAAGTACATTTTTCTGAGTAAAATACGTAGGAATATCAATTTCGACTAAGAAACTTTGAATTAAGAAGCACATGAAACTGTATAGACAGTATAATTATTGAACAGCAATGTAAATTCAAGAACTGCATGTATTTAAGGTATAAAGCCTCAAATTGTATCTCCTTTTTTTTCTTTTCTTCATTACTTCTTCTTAAATTGTCTATATTTCGTCAACCAACGCAGGAGTACATTTATTTCTCCGCGATATTTGCCAAATTTGTTTGTCAACTGAATTTGGAATCGCTAAATGGTCTACTTGATAACGCATTGGCGTTCTCTCACAATGAAATGGTTCGATTCCCGGCGGAGACAATTTTTTTTCAACCTTTGCAGAACAAATTAAAAAGAGGACAGCAATGGAGAACTTTGCTTTAAGCTACATAACCGTCATTGTCTAATCTCCTTTCGCATTATATGTATATATATAAATCGTGCCATGACTAAACATGACTAAAATGAATTGAACAAACTAATCATCGTACCATCACCATCATCATTAAACTTTTTTGAAAGGGAATGCCTTTCCTCTGAGTAATACACCACAAAATATCATATAAAAACAATCTTCTGATCATGATTACTTCGATAAAATACATATAAATTGTACAGATATAATTTCGTCCTTGAAACAACAATTATGAACAAATGAAAATATGCTGGGGAGGGCGGATGGGGAGGGGTCCTGTGTGGTCTAGTGGTTAATGCATTGACGTTCTTATAGCCAGTGAACCGGTTCGATTTCCGACGTTGACAATCTTTTGCAACCTTTGCACACACACAAAATCAAAAAAAGAGGACAGCAATGGAAAATTTGCTTTGAGCTACACAACCATCACTATCTATTTTCCTTTCCCATTATATATATATATTATGTCATGAATAAAAATGAATGAAATGAATTGAACAAAAATCATAGTACCATCATTATCATCATTATTTTTTCTTCATTACGTTTTTCTTCAAAATGGATAAACCTCTTCTCTCCTCACCACAAAGTGTCATATAAACAAAATATTCTGATCATGGACAGTTCGATAAGGTTCATACAAATTGTACATATCTGTTTCGTCATTGAAATGTAATAAGAAATCGAACCAATTAATATTTGGAAAAAAAAAATCATAGTACTATCTTAATCATCATACGTTTTTCTTCAAAAATGGAAAGACCTCTTCTCTGAGTAAAACACCACAAAGCTTCATATAAACAAAATATTATGATTATCAATACTTTGATAAGGCTCATTTACATTATATATATATAATCTTGTCATTGAAATGTAATAATAAATCGAGCCAATTAATAATTGAAAAATATCATCTTACCATCATCATCATCATTATACGTTTTTCTCAAAAAGTGGATAAACCTCTTCTCTGAGTAATACACCACAAAGTATCATATAAACAAAATATTATGATCATGAACACTTCGATAAGGTTCATACAAATTGTAAATACGTGATTATTTCGTCATTGAAATGTAATAATAAATCGAACCAATTAAGGATTGGAGAAAAAAAATCATCGTACCATCATCATCATCATTATACGTTTTTCTTCAAAAATGCATCTTTTCTGAGTAATACACCACAAAGTATCGTATACAAAAAATGTTCTGATCATGAATACTCTGATAAGATTCAAATAAATTGTACAGATATAATTTCTTTTTCGAAATATAATACAGATGATAACAAATAGCAACAATCACCTGGTTAGCCGAATATATATTGACTGAATAATGGTAATTGCAAAAAGCTCGGGAGGGGAGGGGGGGGGGGGGGATTCTGTGTGATTTAGTGGTGAAGACATTGACGTTCACAGCCAGCGACCCGGCTCGATTCTCGGCGGAGACAATTTTAGTTAACCTTTGCAAAGAAATTCAAAAAGAGGACAGCGATGGGGAAATTTGTTTTTTATGAGCTTCACAAGTATTATTGCCTAATTTCCTTTCCTGTGTGGTTTAGTGGTTAAGGCATTGACGTTCACAGCCAGTGACCCGGCTTGATTCTCGACGGAGACCTTTGCAAAGAAATTAAAAAACAGGACAGCAGTGGGGAACTTTGTTTTTTATGAGCTACACAATTATCATTGCCTAACTTCCTTTTCTGTGTGGTTTAGTGGGTAAGGCATTGACGTTCACAGCCAGTGACCCGGCTCGATTCTCAGCGGAGACAATTTTATTCAACCTTTGCAAAGAAATTCAAAAAGAGGACAGCAATGGGGAACTTTGTTTTTTATGAGCTTCACAATTGTCATTGCTTAGTTTTCTTTCCCATTATATATCATGTCTTAACAAAAAATGATAACAATTAAATGAAAAAAATACGTTTAACAAAAATTGACCTCTTCACCGGGTCATACACAATAAAGTATAGTAAAACAAAACAATGATATGATAATTAACCACTTCGATAAAATACACAATAATTGAAAATACATTAATTCATGATTGGAATATAATAAAGATGATAACAAATAACAACACCGTGTTGCCCGAATATGTGGTGACGGTATATTGGCAATTGCAATGTGATCGGGAGAGGGGAAAGGGGTTCAGCCGACACCCAGTCTACTCCACCCCTCCCCTGCCTAGTATTCCAATGGAACAAAATGTTCTCTTAAAACCTTATTCTTGCTTGAAAAACTATTGAATAAAAGCCCTCTGTGTTTGGTGCCATTCTCTGCATCCTTAGACGGCAGCATTATTGTTGGTGGAAGCAACACAATCGTTACCGTCAAAAGCTTTGCTGGCATCAGTTGAATCTAGAGTAACAATGACCGTGTCAGCATCCTAGGTGGAGAAAACACCATCACCTCTCTCAGTGACATTTGCGACAGATGCATCAAGAGGGAGACTAACCGTCATGACATCACTGATTGTTGCATCACGATTCGTGTCCTTCTTCTGTTCCTCGGTGGAACTCTGGATATCTTTGTTCATGGGTAGTGTTACTCCTTCCTCAACCTGGCTAACATCAAAGGCCGGATTGAACATACACATAGAATCAGGATTGTCGTCTTTGAAAGGCATCAAGTAATTATCCGAGGCTCCTGGACGCAATTTGCTTATCACGCCAGATGACGAAGGTGGCACCGTTGAGCTCACCACACCGCTGGAAGTGCTTGCTTCATTCTTTAGGAACTTTTCGAAACAAGTTAGCCCCCATTTCTTACGGATAAAAGGCTTCCGGACGCAGTAGAGTAGAAAGATGAACAATCCTTGGAAGGAGTTGAGGACGACGAAGATTGGCTGAGCCACCTGTTAAACGCAAATGTTTCAGAATTAATAATTAGGTATATGGCATTCTCTCATGTTCTTCAAATACTTAACATCCACATAGGTATTGCTTGTGTATCTTATCATTTATAACTGAGTTCTCAAGATACTTCTTACAAGAGATAGATACTACGCAGTTGGATTTACCTGACTAAATAACGGGATTAAAAGAAGATATCCGGTAACCCAGGTCAGACCGAGCAGAAGCAAGATGCAGATCGCGTTTTGGACGCGTTCGATAGTCTCTCGACGTTCTGCCTTAGCCTCTCTCTTCGCCCGACCGCCGATGTTGGCTGACCGGAGCAACTGTCGAACCACCAGGACAAAGATGACAATGTTGATGAGGAGGATAATGGCCATGGGAATCAAGAGACCACCGATTTGAGCCCAGAATTGTAGAAAGCATCTATTGATAGTAAATATGCATTTTGTAAATAGACTGAATTAAGTCAATCAATACTGACTATCTTTGCGATAGTTTTTTTTTAAATGTCCATGGTCCTTGAAACATTTTAACTGAGAAAATGCCATTGTGATGATTTTCCATTATCTATTTAATGGAAAGGCGAAGATGTATTGATCCATATGCTACCAACAATATCTGAGATGTTAGTTTGTATGGTGACTAAATTCGCTTGGTAGCCTTTATATAGCTTGGATCACAAAACATACCCGCGAAAGTGATACTTAAATACCAATTCCAAATCATAATATCATACTTGCTAACTTATAAGATACCAAAATACCTAAAAACCAGATTAAATAATAATTATAAGTTTCTGAGCGCTAAAGGCAGGCCTTGTTCTTGAATTGCATCCTACATGATCAATGCAACCCCATGCGCCAGGTGCGAACCAAGATAACGTACATAAATATAATTTTGCTGAATCCGAAATTTGAAGATCATTAGGTATACCTAAAGCTATGCAATACAATATTCCAACTAAACTTTTAAACGTTACCACTTACAGATCTTCATGAGCATAAGAGTCTCTAGCAATAGCTCCAGTAAGAACCACGACAAGTGCAGGAATTCCTGTAATAACATACGTGTATAAGGAAATACAATTGTTTTAGTAATCCAAAATAAGCCTACATTAGTCATGGGTCTAGCTCTATCCTTTCCTCGTTTCTTTGATAGACCTTCTTATGTTATTAGGGACTTTTATATTCGCACGAAGACAATGGGGATTGCTACGATCTACGTCCATTCAATGCACTGCCTTAAATGGACGTCACACGTATCAATCCACGCAAATCTAAAAGTCCCTATTATTGTGCTGTCCAGCGCACAATTTTTTTTTTACCACGGTCATGGCGGCACAATACTACTTTTTAAAATGATAAGACATCTCGATTGTTATACTATCCGGGGTTTAGAGTCTTCTTTGTACAAATCACATGCCATGTCGAATGCCATTAAATAATGATAATAACGAAAGAATTACACATAAATGGCAACAGTTACGAATTCATGTGCACTGTTGGACTATAATCCGTTTGTAAACCATGCTAACACTTCATGTTAATAGTAAGCACTATTCCCAGTAAAAAAAGGTATAATGAAACAAATATCGTACCCCATGCAGCTAAAGAAGCCTTGATCATGAAATTCTGGATGTAGGTGTTAAAGATCTTCACGATAATGAGGTAAGTATTGTATCCTTCCACACCCATCCATGCAATAGAGGACAAAACGAAGAAGTGAACTAGGGCCGTCAGGAACCCGCAGGGTCCAGCTTGGACCTCACGATAATCTCTGGTAGAATCGAGAGAGATCATGATGACAAATGTCGTGTAGAGACATAGCAATGTCAGGCACAGACAGATGAAGATCTTGTTAGCCTGTTTGGTCCTCAAATCCCTATCAAGATTGAAACATAAAAATAAGGTTAGGAAAGCGTCGAAGCAATATTGTACCATACATGTACAAGTTTACCTTCACCTGATTGGCAACACATTAACAAAAACGTCAAACAACAAGAAAACGAAGTAAAATCGAGGGGAAATGTTTGTAAAATGAGGAGATTACGTGGTTGAACTTTACTTTTATACATGTATCTCTTTTATCACTGGGCACAACCCTCAGAATGGCCACGCGTGTTAAATATAAAAATGATCTGAGTGTAACTATTTAGGACGATGTCAAATGGGAGAATATTACGCCAAAGATGTTCGAAATTAATATGATTTTCATTCTATGCCAACTGTACACCAATTATCTACGAAGTTTTTCGTCGCCTGGCTGGCAGAAGGGCGTAAGCCCGAACTTCAGGTAAAAATGAAGTGGTTAAGCAAAAGGGTGCTAGCACTAAATAGCCTCAAACTTTAATGAAACTGACTTATTTCTGAGAAAAACAATTGTGGCCGTGTTCTACTATAAATTTCTATTAATCTTTGAAGTTTTAAAACAATTTTCGGGACGGAAAGCAGTTTAAATATAAAAAATAATCTTTAAACGCGAATAAATCGAAAAGTAGTTTTCGAGTCGCTCACGCGCTAACGTCCTTCTGCCACCCGGCCGACGCAATGTAGAATATATCGATATGCTATAAACAATTTATTTCTAATTGCAACCTATTTATGTCTCTTGTCACACCACCCCTTCATCACCAAGCAACTTGTAATATTATGAAAGTTTCTCTTCTTCTTCTTCCATTTCTTTTTCTTCTTCTCCTCCTCCTCCTCCTCCTTCTCCTCCTCCTCCTCCTCCCTCCTCCCTCCTCCTCTTCCTCCTCTTCCCCTTTCTTTTATGAATTGTATATCACTTCAAACAGAAGTGATACCAAACAAAACTGTGCTGCAGGATTATACGAATTTCATCCCATTTGATAAAGAGAAACTTTTATTAAAAAGGCGGTTATTTGAATTTGCATGATTATTTAATGAATTCTAAAAATGCATCTCTTTCACAATTTATATACCTATTCCACGTTTAAAACCTTCCAAACAAAGTTGAAGATAAAACGACCAGATACTAATTACACATTCTGTCTCCTTTGTGTGACATTAATGATTGCATTATTTCTTCTTAATGGGCTCACTTGTTCCACAGGTAGGTTGCCAATGTGACAAGAAGACTGAAGATAGAAATACAGCATCCAATGTAAGTCAGGATGTTGTATACCTCGATTGGTATTGAAACCTCCTGCCTATGGATATCCTGTAACATGAACGAAAATTGAGCCCACACTGAAACATTTACTTCGAATGCTCAAATAAAACTGATTATTTTACCATAATTATTCATACCCAATTGAAGACTAGCTCCATACTCCATTGTTCTTCGGAAGTAAAAGGGGAATTGTAAAAGGGGAAGAGGTCGAATAATGACCGCTTATCGACACAAACCTGGTAGTAGTGTTTCACCTGTCTGGAAATAAACTAGCTAGTAGCCGTTTCCATTCGCAAAACCACAGGCGTGATATATACTGTCTCCCACTATATAGTACATAGACCATACTATTTAATCTGTAGGACCAACTATACCCCCTCGGTCATCAAGGGCATTATCACGCTATGGCTCCTAGCTTTAGTTAGTCGGGTTATGGTTGTCTGGGGAGTAGTTAAATGGTGATAATGCAGGCGCGTACGCAGGATTTTTTCAAGGATGGGGGAGGGAGGGGGAGGCGGGGGGGGGGGGGGGGGGGTAAGAGGACAATTTTTTTTTTTTTTTTTTTTTTTTGGGTGGGGGGGGGGGGGGGTCTCAAGATTTGACATTTTGACATTTTGCTCCGTTGGGGGGTGGGGGGGGGGGGGGGGTAAGGTCAACTATATTAGGTCAGCCATCCATTGGTATATTTTTTTTTTTACCAAAAGGAGGGGGTTAACCCCCAACCCCCACCCCACCCCCTGCGTACGCGCCTGTGATAATGTATATGCAAATTGCCTAATTGCTTTTCACTGACCATTATAACAGCGAAGTTGGTAAGATGATCACACGCACAGCGCACGATCTCCTCATCAGAGCGATCATCGGATGATGTGATTCCAGAAACAAGAACACACCCGTCTTGGGACCAATCTTCCTCCTCCTCATCCCAGAACGAACACATGGGATTCACGTATCCAGACTAAACAACAACAACAACAACAAAATCCGCAAGACCCATAATAGAATTAGTTTTAAAAAGAGACATCAAGGAAGAATGAATGATAATTTTGATTGGTTTACTTTAAAGACCATTTACCATTAGGGCAATCAAACACAGGAGTGAAAAACGAGTGAAATACATATAATGTTTACACATCCTTAATATATGTATGGCTTCAAATGTAATTATCTATACATACAGCTAAAGGCAGATTACTAAATAATACGTATACTTTATTAAAAACGTTTTTATGACATTTCTTGCAATAGCTTACCATTATTGTAGTGAAGGTAAAGTTGATGAATTCGGTCAAGGCTGCTACTTTTCCTTGACCAATACTGAGAGAAATCACGGGAGAGTTAGCCGATCGATTGAAGCATTCATTAGCTGCACTTATATTGCGCAATGATTTAGAAATGAACAGGGCTGGAGTTGAAAATACATTGAAGTTGACCCGAACGTATTCACCACTGCCATTCGACAGCGATCCTGAGAGTGGGGCCGTGGACGAAATGACGGATGCAACTGAAGGTGGAATGTTGACCTGAGCGATGATGCCTGGTATTGTAGCAATGACGTCATCGTGGTCATCTTGGATCGGAGCATTGATGGTAATATTGGCTTTGGTCAGGTCTGAAAATCTGGATCCAGCTACCGAAAGCACAAGACCACGCATTACGTCGTCAGCAGGTACACTCTGGACCTGTTATAGGAATTAGGACTCAATTAGTATTACTCTTATTATTGTTATTATTATCATAATCATCATCATCATTATTTCTAACATTACTATCATTATAATTTATTATTATTATTGTATTATAATTTTGTTGTATTTAATTTTTTTTATAAGTATTACTAAGATCTCTTTGTAATTATTATTATTATCATTATTATCTGAAAATAGAGAACTGGGAGAGGAAACCTTCGCTCGTGCAGAGCCTTCGCTTTGAAATATTCTCCCTTTACAAATTCGTAAAAGCAGATCAGTTGAGGTGTTCACAATAATGTAAAATCGTTTCTATTTGGATCGGAATATAATTAATTATTCCCTTTTATTTCATTTGTATGTAGTTTGTTTAAAATTAAAATGCTTTTATGCGATTTCTACTTCGAAATGGTGCACCTTGAGTATTTGATTTCAAGTGGCTTTGGCGTCTTACAAATCAAATATTACTATCATGATGATGATGATCATCATCATTAACATTATTTGTATTATTGTAAATACTTTCATCAATAATCTATTTTTTTTAATTAATTGTATTAATATTATTTTTTTTCTCCATGAGATTAATTGTTATCATTATTTTTATCATTATTATTGTTATCATTAATATTATCATCATCATTATCGTTGATGATGATTAAAAATGAAGCGATTAGCAACATGCACAAAAGCTCAAGTAAGGCATCCCACAAATTCAAGATATGAAGAATTCTGCAGAAATAAATGCACAGATAATGAAAATGACCTACGATGTTGTTTGGCATATCTTTTTTTAAACTACACAACTGCATTCATACAAATGGTGAAAATGTCGCGCCTTGTTGAACACCAGATTTAATGGGACCCCAATGGAGGAATGGCAGTGTCAGGTTTATGTTTGATTCCTTTATTTTGAACATGCATGCAAACAATTATACAACTTGGAATTGAACTTCTATATTTAAGTATACTGGTGGATTTCAAATAATTTGTTTTTAGCCTATGATATAAATATAAGATCACCTGTACGGCTACATTTGGCTGCTGAATGAGGAGCATCCCACCATCGGCAACCTCAACACGACTGATTTGTTCCTCAAAAACCTGGACAAATTTACTTATTGCCCCACCGTCTTCTTCTGCTGCTTCAAGTTCCTTTGTTTCTACCTGAGCTATATTGCTCACAATACTCGTAATAGAGTTTGTTACCTGTCAATTCAAACACAAAGGATGAAGATGGTTTATTCTATGGTAGGAGAAACTTGCCAAATCTCGGAAATCAAACCGAATGACGATATGATATGAAATAATTAAATAACATGACAGCCTTGGCACAGCTGTTCTCTTAATGCCGTTACACGACTTCTGGATGAAGCAACTGCCAAGGTGTCAACAAGATATGAAAGGGCAGCGCGAAACCTATATATATATCAAAGCACTAATAAGATATTATACAAAATTAAAAGAAGAAGAGCCGGATACGGGGCAAGGATCTAGTAAATTTTTCATTCACAGTAGTTTAGTTGTAAGTAAAAGGCGTCCAATATTGTTAAAATCGATTTTGAGATTTACCGCTTTCACATATATGACAATTAATGAAATGTACCTAAAGGAAGGCTCCAATTTGTTTACCATTAGATGATTATCAGAACATAATACAATAATTGAATTCATAAACAATCTCTAATTCATGTTCAATATGATTGGTCTGGCATCGTGCAGAATACCTCTTCACTAGTAAGATTTTGATGCACAATGTTTGATGTTATCTCTGCCACAAACGCGATGTCATCTGATGTGATATCTTCGATGTTGGACGTAACAGATGATAGTTGCTGGCTCACTTCACCTGCGTTTTCTTCATCTACGATTACCTAACATTTGAGGGGAAAATATCATTACAGCATGTTTATATTGAGTGATATGACTTTCTCTCCTTAATTAACCTTAATGAGGTCGAAGTATTTCTAGGATTTCTAATACCCGGGGGGGGGGGGGGCAATTCGTGAGAAAATATTTAGCGGGGCATAAGCGGGCGGGGGGGGGGGGGGTTATGAGCATTTTTTTGTTTTACTAAACACCCCCCCCCCCCCTCTTGAGGAAGAAAAAAGGTACAATTGTGCTTAACATCTTTATTTTGTACTTCTTTTTTTTGTCAGGGGTGGGGTCCGTGCCCCTCCCAAGCCCTCACCCTGGTTCTGCCACTGCATTATGACCCCCTCCCCCTATGATATTGACTATGGTTGGCGACATGGAGAGGAAAATTGGTACACATATTGAATGAGTATAATGAAAAACATGGCAACAAAATTTTTTCATCATTTTGCTTTATTAATTTTTCGCAAAATGTTCAAAACATACCTACTTTGCAGTTTAACAGTATGAAAATGGTTGGGAAATTAGTTGTTTGGTATATTTAAACAGTTCAACGGATGAACTACATGATTTGTTTAAAATTTAAATTAAGAAAACAACATTAGTTGTCATTATTATCAAATAATATACGTCTATGTTTAAAATGTTCTGTGTATAAACAAATACAAAGTTTTCTATGGTTTTTTATAATGTAGGATGAACCAAGGATGGGTCTCACCTAGTGAAATATGAGTGTAAACCTTCTTAACAATGACAAAGATCAGGTGATTTTGAGATGATTATTGATTCTTCGACAGGCTAGCACACTAGCAAATGGGGAAAAATGCACATTTTGATTGACATGTGATCAATAATTGTAATTTGACACCCCTACGGCCGTTGGTCCGTATTGCATAAATTTGGTATCAAAATGTACGGGAGAATTTGACAAAAAAGTAATAAAATATGGATTCGAAAATTCAAGGGGTTAAGACGCAGCGCAAAACATTCTAACTCATAAGCGTTTAGGTAACATAAAATTAGAGAACATGTTTCCCTTAAAATCATATTTTTCCAGTTCATCATGATTAGTGACATGTACAATATGTTAAACACAAGTGCATTACATATGAAAGTTCTTTAAAAAAAAGGCTCTTCTCAATGATTGAAATTTGAAAAGAAAATTCCAAAAACCTGTGCAATTTCGGTGAGAATATCTGTGACATTTCTAAATGGTCCGCAGTTATCCACAGGTTGCCACTGGCTCTGGGTAATACCATCGCCGATACACAGGGCCCGTCCAATCGGTTCATTAACTGTTCGGTATAAAAATAAAAATACACATATATTTATCATATCAAAAGCACACTGGCAAACAATTATTACCAGATACAATTAAGAAGGGGACATACTAATGAAGTAAAGAAATTCCGTCTGTGATTGAAATTTCCTCAAGTAATTCATGACTCTGGAACTATTCAAAACATTCAACTACACGCGCAGATCTTGAATATTATTTTGGTCGGAGGGCTGGGGGCTTTGGGTTCCTGCATTCATTTTCTACGTGACCCTCGCTTCAATTAATTTTGATTGATTTCATGAACACAGTTTAGGGGCTTGAATATATATGAGGAGGGGCTTTTAGACCCTAAGTCCCTATCTTTATTCGCTAGTGTTCAATAATGGATAGAATCAAATTACATCGGTTGAACATCGTGATGATAAAGCTACTTTTGAAATAATATTACGAGCTAATGATTCATTCTCGATCGCGCAGTTGCCATTCATTAAATGGAGTGTATCATGGCAAATACTGATTAACGCCGTCTACGTCTTCTTTTTGACAACTGCATGTAAACGAATGTACTTGATCAACTGGGTCAGCGCGCTAGCGTCCGCGAAACAGACCAAAGTTCTCCCCACGCTTCGGTTTCGCGTACGTTGCACGCATGTGAATGCTGCTGTCGCGTCGTCCGTAGTCGTATTATACCCGATTGGCCCCGCGCCATATCTGAACAAACCTATAGGGAAATTATCATATTGCTCGTACGCTTCCCCAAATTAAAGATGAACGAAAGACCCTCAAAACAAACCTTGAGTAGTGTTGAATGGACACATTCCTGTTGAATTTGTCCATGTTCCGTTTTCACCAACCGGAAATTCGACTTTTTCAAAGCGAGGAGATATCCAGGAGATATTCTGGCAAATAGCTACACAAAAAAGAATGTAATGTAATGTAATCACTATAAATAAGTATACAAATTATTTAAAGAAGTACTTTAAAATGAAGGGCCAAAAGGCCGCAGAAACAGACAACACCCGCGCAAAAAGGAACACACACACACACACATACAGTCGTACACGTGTGTAAATATATAAATGTATATGTATATATATATATTTATATTTACTTTAAGGCGTCATAACACGAACATGTGTAGTGAACAAATTGTTCATATTCAAAATAGACATGGTCATTAGCAGGACATTTTCGTGTACTGTTTAATAACGATTGAACAAAAGAAGTAATGCCCTCTACGTACGTTTGAACGCATGTAGAGGAAACCGACAAGAAACAAAGGGTTTATATCACTAGTCATTAGTTTAATTGGTTATATTGTTTTTAATTTAGGGTTAGGGTAAGGGTTGCGGTTTAGGGCTGGGTTAGGGTAAAGGTATCTTGCGTTTCAATTTACCTAACGTACCGATGCCACATGTCCAGTTTAGTGGCGTATTCGGCATAGCCCAATCCCCTCCCCTTCAGAAGCCAATGTTCAAACAAAATGCTTGCAATGAGTGGTATCACCAAGGCGGGACAAAACAAAATGATGACCCCTGGTTTTTCGCGTCACCAACCTGTCATCCCATCAATCTAAGGATACCCCACGTCCTTATACACAATAAATTGAATTTCAAAACTACATGTATATGAATGAAATTAGTACCGTTATCTTGAACCGAAATGGTGTTTGAATCGAGAAAACCGTTCGATTCATTGGCTAGACGGTCAAGAGATAGACCAATAAGATCTTGTGTCTCCGTTGCCGTCATATTGGTCCGCTCGATGTAGATATTCATGTCAGCTTTGACGCTTCCTGGTCTTAGGGCTCTGCATACTACTGATAAACTCTGCAACCCAGTACTGGTTCGGACGCCTTGCTCCACCTTTATACAGATACAAAATAACAAACATAAAAGATAAAGCGTTAAATAAATATTTCCCTTTCTAATACTGATACTCTTTTGTAACTCATTAAAGTATACGTCATAACCGTAAACCCTTCGCATGCAACATTGTGTCCATACTATATTCATAAGAATTTACTTATTATAGAATTGCATTTTTAAAGAAAAACAAAATTGAAGAACTGAATGAAAGTATCTGTACCGTAAGTGTATAAATGGTGATGTGAATTAGCTTTGACCTTAGAATGCTACCCTCGACAGCACCATAATGGGAAGGTCCTCCAAATGCATATCTTCCTCAATTTTCATCACAAATAATAGTTGCTGATTCATTTGTCACAAGAGAGTCCCAGTTGCAGGTAAACGGAGGAACAAGACCTTCCGGATGCTTTAGTCTGGTCTCCACCATGAGAAGAGCTGAAAATGTTAAAGCTATATGTACGTGCAATCAGCCTTCACAAAATCCCTGCTAGGAAACGTGTTGAACAACGTACTCACACTCTATACTTCCATCGTCTATTTTAAACCCAAAAGAATATTATGCCAACCTTGCAGAATATCACAAGAGCCTTTTTGATATGCACCAATTACTTTTAGGATATACTTACATAGGTGCTGATGTTGAGCGCCGTTTCTTTATAGAGTTTAGACGTTTGGTCATGAAGCTCATCGCTGAATGGAATGGCAAATCTAGCGTTCAAAACTATTATATTGGTCAGATCTAAAAATACAAACATACCCATCGAGAATCAGTGACACAGATTCAGGGGAGGGCACAGAGGAACGCCCCCCCCCGGCCCGAGGAAAAGGGGGGGGGGATTCTTCTGATGAAGAGGGCTTATAGCAACAACAACAACAAAAATACAAGTAACTTAATCATAACCTTAAGAAAATGTCTTTAAATACGAATTCAATATTAAATCAGTATTTGTTTGAGAACATTTCTCTCATACTTAACACATAATGTACCTAGTATAATCACGTTCGTTTTGTTTTACGCGCTGGTATCTCTCAATTGCGATCAAATTTTTGCTGTTGATATTTGTTCTTTTCACCCGTAGCATTAGAAATAACATTAATATCTTCAAAACTTAATTGAATGAAGAAATTCCTATTTTGTATATAATTTATTTTCCTATGGAAGTTTGATTAAGACAAATGCTTATAACGTGTATCAGATGTATAATCAATGTAAACGAATTTTGAATGAATAATCTGCTTATTATTTGCCAAGTTTCCTGACAAAGACAGGGTTTGCAGGCTTGTAATGATGTTTAATACATAGGAACTGTAAGTATTTAATAACGTATGCCTGCTAGTTCCATGCTCTCTTCGTGAAACTTCTCGCGATCACAAGGGTATTCCATTTGTTTATAGGGCAGAGATGAGATCTTGCTAGAGTACACAGGTCGCCTAGCTTAAAGGCTAGACACAACCCAACATTATATAATTTGTATGTGACTTTGGTTTGATTCAAGCACAGTTTTTACCTTTGACATATACAGATGCTCGCACCGTGTCTAAAGTTTCTCCATTTCTCCCCGAGCCTCGGCAGAAGTAATACCCGATGTCACTTGGCGTGACAGACATGATTATCAAAGGATTCTGATTTTCACTGTTAGGCAAGAGGACACCGTCTTTGTACCAGTGGTATCGATAGGCATTGTTGAAACTACATGTCAGCTCCACATAGGCATTGGTGTTGACTATCTGGCTTGATGGATGGACAGAAACCTCCAAAGGAACTGTATTCGAGGTAGGAATTAGAACATATGACGGCGAATGAAGATATTTTATTTTCAATATTGATGATAATAAAGATGGTGAAAAAAATAATGATAGTAATGATGATAATAATTATAAGTTAAAGAAGGAGAAGAAGAGGAATGATAATTCCCCCCCCCCAAAAAAAAACAAACAGTGAGATCAATTATGATAACAATAAAACCACGACTAATGATAATAATAGAAATTGAAATAATATTAATACCCTACTACCAGTACTATTCATGAAAATAATGATAATAACAGTTACATTTATATATACGTAAATACCAAGGGGATGGTCAAGGCACCTACAAAATACTATCATGATTCCTACACTGGCTAGCATAGCTGCCCTAAGGCCCTGAAAGCATTCAAGGAATAGATTCCCAACAAAGTGATAGTGACAAATGCCTCGTCAAAAGACAGTGGTGCTGCCCTGAACCGCAAACCATGTGATCTCAAGGAGGTAGTATAAGCTCATTGCTGATCCTAAGTCCGGTGACGTATGCACGAGACCATCGTCAACATGTAAAGGAGGACTGGAGATCTTAGATTTAATTCATATAGTAAGCAACATCATATTTTGTTTGCATTTGTTATGAAATCTTTTTGGGTAAGGGTTAGGGTTAGGATAAGGTTTAGCATTAAGGTTAGGGTAAGGATTAAAGTTAGGGTATGCTGGGACAACTCGGCCACATATTTGCAGCGGGGCTGAGCTGTCCCCGAGTCCGAGTTTAATAGCCCGGATCCTTTGATATTAGTTCGCTTACACAATTGAACGTCGTGAATAGCGACAACAGATGGATAAAAAGCCCCCCCCCCCCGAAAAGGGAAGTATTTTTATATTATATTTCATATCCAGATATGATGAAAAGACTTTCGATTTACTTCAGAAATGAAAAGGTTTCATTGTCATTTCTGAGGGTGAAAAATTGTGTCAAAAAACCGCCTTTCCAAATTTTGATTCCTATTCACCCATCTTTCGAAAAGATGTGAATCATGGATTTGCAAAACGTAATTTCTGTAAGATGCATATACAAGTAAATCCAAACATATGACTTACGAGCTGGTTCATCACAATGGATCCCCTCATAATGATCTTGGCATTCACACTCGTACTGTCCTTGTCCAATGGGACGACATACACCATTGACGCACGGGTTTCGTTGTGTGCAAGGATCAGTGTTACCTGTCAAAATTTAGTTTTAGTAAAATTGTAGTAGCATAGAACTTACGAATGAATGCTTGCAGGTTTTATCCTCAGTTTCCTGGGTACCAGTGTCTAGACATAATGTTATGATGTGTTTACTTTTAAGAAGTGATATGAAGGGGTAATCTCAAAGAAGGAAAACATGTTTTTGGACAATTGGGAAAATGTCATGTTTACCAAAATAACAACGCATTTCGCTGGAGTATATTATGTGTATGTGAATAATATATGTATATTTACATACATACATACTTACATACATACGTTCATATTTTTCGCTGGTCAGTATATGTGTCTTTGTATTGTAAAATTTGCTTCCTAAATTCCCATTCAATTTGGCTGTACCGCTTACTTATTTCACAGTTCGGGCCGATGAATAGATCAAAGCAAATACACTGGTAACCGATTTCATTTTGCTGACAAGTACCTCCATTTACACAGGGTGTTGGGAGACATGCGTTCCCTGAACACAGAAAAGGGAGCAATGTAAAGAGTGAGAAATGGAAATAAACATCATATAAATAAATCGATAGATCCACGTGGTTGCTCACTATTTATATATGAATTTATTGGTGAAAATGCGGTTCAACTAAATTTTATTGGGTTGAAAAAGAACTACAATGCGAGTCAAACAAAAATTTACATCATTTTCCTAATTCATCTATAAACAGTAAATTATTATAAATCTTAAGGAGAAGTTTTTCATCCAAAATCATATAGTATCATTTTTGTTTAGAATGTGTTCACGCTTGGATAAACAGGAGGCATTGTTTGCGAGAGTGCAAACATTGACTTGCCCCAAAGTTGCTTATGTGATATTAAAATAAAACACTTGGGATTTGGGTATTATTATTATTATTATTATTATTATTATTTTTTTTTTTTTTTGGGGGGGGGGGATCATGTTAAAAAATGTATTTTAATTATGGTAAAAAAGCTCAAATTATGCCAGAATTTTGCTAAAAACAACCAAAGTATGCTTAAAGGGTCAAACTAATGCTACGTTTACACTATGTTCCCGGCGGCAACGGCAGCCCCGTTTGCCCGAAACGTGCGCCGTGGGATTTAGGCCAATTTTATCTCTGGATTCAAGTTTTGTTCGGTCTTGCCAAGTTTTCTCACGCTCTACCACGGTATCCGTGAGAGGCCGTGGGGGAATGGAGATGCTGAGTCCCGGAGGCTCCAAGGCGCACTTCAGTTCGGCCTGCGTTTTACCACGGATGCCAGAACGTTCCTTTTCGGCGCGTCACGTTTTGATGGGGTCCCTCACGTTTCTCAAGTTCTGATCAAGGCTTTCTACGGATAAAACGTAGATGCCATGCAGGTTTGGAGCACGTTTGTGCCCACGGTATGAAAGGAAGGCCTCCGAAACAAAAGCAATCATTATATCCTGACATTTCGACGAGACAGCATCATAAATGCCCAAGATGAAGAAGATTTATCATGTGCATGTTTGCTGGGTGCATACATCCAGTCTTGGCGTCAACAAAAAGAAGGCCAGCATCAAATGCAGAGAGGGAAGGCCTGTGGGCCCTGTTTCATAAAACTTGATATCAATAACAAGTTACAAGGTACTGTAATTATAAGCTATACTAAAGTCATGGCTGAGAGCAAATTTGTCATTTGTCATCTACTGGTGCTGACTGGGGAGGGGGAGGGCTTCGTACGTCTTGACTTCTTCGCTTGCATAGCTGGACCTTATTTTTTCAAAGCTTGGTCTTCTCTCTTTCCATATTTAAGATGCAGTAATGTGTCGTCGATTGCTCAGACGCAATAGGTGTCTAGCTTTAAACCCCAAACGAAATTTGAACTAACCTGTTGTTGTGCCGGGTGTGGTAACTAGTTTGGTTCCCGGTGTAGATTCTGGTGTTGTTTCAGGGGTTGTATTCGGTGTTGTACGTGGTGTTGTTCCAGGGGTTGTAGCTGGTGTTGTTCCAGGTGTAGTAGCTTGCGTTGTACCCGGTGTTATACCTGGGGTTTTTCCTGGTGTTGTTTGAGGTGGTGTTTGAGCAGGTGTACTGGGAAAATCTGGAACGAATTAAATGCATTCCATTTCGTAATAATTGAACTAAATAAATTTGTGTAGAATATGAGAAATCATGGATCAAATAACATATTTCCTCATATTAAACCAAAAATCTTCGTGAACTTTGGTAACTCCATCATACTTCTTTTACTATGTCTTATGTTTGAAAAATGTTGTGTGCAAAAGTAGTAAAAACATCATACCCTCCCAATTAAAACGAATCTAAAATTCAATACTGTGAACAAAGTGAATTTCTTTTTAGTGCTTTTTATGTCAGTTCCTCACTTATTCATCATTGATAAATGTTACAGTTAGAGAAGCACTTATACAAAACCTGCAGTGTTCTCTCCAACAAGAATTCAATAGCAGAACATGATAAGTCTTAGATATTTGAAATGCTTAATTTATGCTGAAGTTAAAACGTTGTAGTATTCTATCAATCAACCGATTGCTAAAAATCAATTCTTACTGTAATCTTTTTTTTCTCCGACCCTGTTTCTTCTATTCTTCTTTACAAATTACTCTTATCTACTCCTATCTAACCAGACATAACCGTTCTTATCACCTTCCACGTAATGGCACAGCTTTCGCCCATAATATAGTTACTTTGGAAAAGAACTTCCAACACACTTAGTCAATACGGACTCTCTTTGTCCTATTTCAAATGAACAAATCACCAAAAGTCATATGCACCGTCCAGTTGTCAGGGGTTCCATGTCGCTAAACTATATCAAATGTATGAGCTTCAAATATTACTTCTATATTAGAAACTGCAAATTTAAATACTATCTCAATTATGATAGAAAAGGGCCCGCACAAAATCCAAGTCCGATTTGGGATTGTATGTTATTCTTTTTCTTCATACTTACGACACATAAGCAGATAGGTTTCAAAATAACAAAATTGAGGTTCATTTTATACATTCTTGCTAGGAACAAATATATTCTTTTAGGTGATACCCCATGACTCCTAATTCTTGCTTCCTCTTTCAGTACATACTTATTTATTGGCTTCTACCCTTTTCCCTTTTTTCGTATTTTCATTAATTTGTCTTCAATGATATTTTCTCTGTTTCAAAGAGTTCATTTTATTTACCTGAGCGATGCTTTCAACTAGATTTCTTCATATTCCACTTCAGATTGTCCATTATGCTCCTTAGGTATCTCATGTAACTCGGTACGATTTTCCCTCCTATTGCTTGTATTAAAATCATGTATCTATTAAACCAGCTATCTATCTATTCAATCGAACCGTCATACTAACCCCAAACCGACTCCATGCCATCGATTTCATAGCCGGCTAAAAATAATCATTACAGTGTCATTGTTTGTTCGATCACGAGTCGGTCCGGAGTTGGTCTTATTGTTTGTGTAACTAAAGAATGAAGCGATGCAATGATATCCAACAAGGAATATATTCAAATAAGACAAGTCGATAATAATCACATACTCACTTGATAGGTCAATGGAAATTATCTAAACGTCCATTTTGAGACTGCTGTATAAAACCTTTGTGTTGGATAATTCTCATTTTATAACTGGTAATATACCAGTTATCACTGCTTCAATAAAGCTTTAAATGTAACCG